TGTTTTCTCCAAACCACTATTTTAACAATTAAGTAATTTTTGTATACGTACAATTTTGGATTGGTAATCCTTTTCCTGTTTCTATCCTATTCTTGTCCCTTCAGTTTATCATCCTGAAACTAATAATATATGCTTATCAGCAAATTATACGAGGTTAAATTAGATATGCAATTATACCACTGTAATATGTTTTCTAGTTTTTCTTTTTTTTTTGTTGAAGCTATTCTCAATAATTTACTCTTTTTTAAATCATAATATTTACCAATTTTAGTTTCATTTCATAAAGTTTTTAATTGATTTTAATCACAAACTAATTTTATATCTCTAAGCAAAATGTCTATTTACAAACTTAGGCATAAAAATTCACTCAAAATACTGAAACTGCATTACTCTCAAAAATGGACAATAGCATATAACTTATGAATGATTAATCAAACTGTGTATTATTTCGCCAATGTTACCTTACAATGTTGAAGAAAAAAAAAGGAGGAATTTCGCAACATTTTTATAAAAAAAAGTTTGCGAAATATTTGCATTCAAAAATTTTTTTGAAAAATTTTCATTTTTAATAAAACTATCAAAGTTTTCATCAGTACAAAAATAAAATAATTCGTTTAATATAAAAGAAATGGTCGCAAAATTTAGGTAATGGATGCTTCCCACCAGTTTACTACGAAACTTATTCGCATTATCCGATGGCTTTGTCAGGTATTCTTACTGTAATAATTAAATACTACAAATATTTTTATGTTTATATCAAACTGTACAAATTATTAGAATTAACTAAAAGATCAGTTTTTAAATATTTCATATCTTTTAAAAGTAGCCCGTGATTTTATCATTCCAACTTGTGTTATTGAACAAAAGTTATGATAAGGATATTGTCTATGTTTTCAAAAGAAGTTTGCGAATTCAAAAGTTTAAAATTAAAATTTGGAATTTGAGCCAGTCGTGCACGATCGTATGTTGATGCGACTGATTTCAATGCTAGAAAAGATGTACATCCATCACTGTTCACAGCATCATCAAATGTTCAAGAAAATTTGGACGTTGTACAGGAGGCTTCTGATTTGAATTGCCATGGGTTTGATAGAAATTGTCGTTGGTCAAATACGAATGAAGACGAACTGGACTGGAGAGTGCTATTGTCTACACCGGAAGCTGAACCATGGGTCAGTACGCTTCAAACAACTCATCTTCCAGGTCAGACGATAGTGTCATTTCAAACTAAGCAATGTTTTGCTAGTCAGTGTATATTATTTTATCTAATTTATCTAATTCAATTAAACTTCTGATAGTTCGGGGCGTTATATGTTTGTTGAAAAATTCTGAAATTTTTTTTTCCTTTAAATCCGCCGATATGAAATATGAAGATAAAAGTAATCATTACTCTCAATTACAAAAGATATAATAACTACCTCATTGCTTAACTATGCCTTTAAACAAGTAAATTAGTCCTGTTTTTACTCATTAAATTATTTCATTAATTTTTAGATGCAACAGCAGCGGTACTTCTATCCGCTGATCGTAGTGCATGGGATAGTGGACAACTTGTTTCCGATTTGTTGCCATGCATTATATCACCATTGCAACTGACCGCTACAGTTTGGCGATCCTCTTCAGATGGACCATTTCATCAACAACCAAATTTGCAGATTTGTAGTCGTAATATGCATGCCGATCAACCCTATTCAAATTGTATCCTGTTTCCCATACAAAATGGCATACCGGTTACCGTGCGCATACCCGAACCACGTGATCCCACTACACCTGCCCAGGTTTCATTTAAAACTGATCAAAGAAGAAAAAAAGAAAAAAAACAATGAACCAGAATTTTGCTTTGTTATTTGAGGGGTGAAAAATCATTGCATGGATATTTTTCGCTCAAAAATATCTGAAAATTTCCTGAAAACGGAGTTAATGACCATTACTTGCAACTGCGATTGCATGATGACAATTTAATTTCTCGACAATACGACTATAAATGAAAAGTTTTGCAGCTGTAATAAGAGAAATAAGTTGAACTTCTCATAAAATTGCCATATTTCAGATTGTTTTGTTGGGTGATAATTTTGTTAGAAAGCATGGTAGTGCTATATTTGTTCAAGATATCATTGTGGATGGTGATCTGGTACCAGATTGCACCATAACAACACCATATACCACCGAACATTTCAATAAACCACAGCATCAACAGGCTAGACGCTTGATTCCTTTGCATAACTTCCATGATTTTACCAATAGTCTTGTCGAAGTTCAAGAATTAGATCCCACGCAAAAAATAGCCAATCTACGTCAACCATCGACATTACAATCTGTTCCATCTTTATTACCGGATTCTGAATCCCTAATGGTTCAATGTTTGAAGCTGTCCTGCAATCCGGCTGGTAAGGCATTGATGTGACAATTGTTGCCATATTTACTCATCAAATAACTAAAAAATAAAGTAAAATAGAAAAAAAGTAGGAATTCTGACCATCACATCGCTTACTAACCGAAAGTATGGGTCAAAAAAGACGTCAGAATTTCGTTACAAACAGAATTTTATGTTTTTACGTTGTAACAAGTTGAAATATGTCGTACGTGATATGCGCCATGACCTACAGTAGCTATTACTCACAAATGATTCTCGTCTGTCACTATTAGTAAAAAACAAATAAAAGTTAAAAAATAAGAAAACTAAATAAAATAATGTTTTAAATTGGCGTATTTTTGACTTGTTATACACATCGTAACTACCTGTTGCGATGAGAACGGCTCAAAAATATTTGCAGCACATTTCCGCCAAGATTATCTTTCTGGTATTCTACAAATAAGTCTGTTAGGCTTTAAGCATTACAATTCTGCAAATATAATAAATGTACAGAGAGAAACTGTGACTGGCAAAATGGCATTGCTGGATGGATGGCTGCGACTGGAACTGATGGCTTTTCAAATCCGTTGACTGGTATTATGGTACCACCTGCTGGAACAAACGCATTCCTGATAGCATCCTATAATGATGATTCCAAAAATCCTATTCGCCAAATTATCAGCCCACTGATAAGTATTTCAACTGCACCACAACCTATACACTTCTGTTTCTATGAATATTTCGCCCTTGAAGGAGCACGCTTTACAATGTGTACTGATGAATTTAACCAAAGATGCTTTTACTCGAAAACTGATATCTCCAAGGATGGCCATTTACAGGTATACACCAAATTTCAATCAAATTCGCTTTCCCACAACTTGCTTGTTTTACTTAAAAGTGATTAAGAAGCAGATGTTGCGTTAATATTAAAATGTGTTGCAATTGGAGCGTAACGCAGATAAGAAGTACGTCAGTTTCAGAAAAGACTATAATTTTGTAATTCTGATGTTCAAATTACCGAGAAATAGTTTTTGCATCAAAATAGAAAACCCTCAATGTAATCTATATCACGTATATTTAACTGCTCAATCACTGTTTGTTGTAAAATCTGTTCAATAAAACTGGAATGTCACCATTTGTCCCCATTTCAAATATTGAAGTTATATAAATTATACGAAAGAGTCTTTGCCCGAACAATTGTTAGGTGTTTATGGTATCAAGTTTAATACGGCACCGATCACATGATCGCCATTTAATCAATCTTTAACACGAATTTTTATACTTGATAAATAACTTGAGTAAACTTTTACTATCGCTCTTTTGAAACTTCCTATAAGCAAGAATTTTTGATTTGCGATATTTTTGAAGTATTTATATCAATTTTTACAATCAGAAATCAAACTGAACTAGAAAATGAATTGAGAATTTCGTTATTTTCATTTTCAAATACAAATTGTCAACATCAATATTTTTAGGAAAGCAGGCAGTGGAATTTTCAATGCACCGAACTACCGAGTGGAACATACAAGGTTGGTTCTACAATTCCATAGTTATCGCTCCACTTGAAAAAAAAAAAATTTGGATTTAAATTGCTAAATTCAATTTCGAAATTTTAAAGAAAATATTTTGTGCAGATATATGTTTCGGCAGAAAACAACGGGCCAAATCAAGGCGATATTGGTTTCGTACCATTACGATTAAGTCGAGATATGGATGGAAATGATCCTATCTGCTGAGAAATTTTATGTAATTTCAGGACTTTATTTTTTCACAAATTATTTATATCTTGCAATGCTAAATTCAAACCATTGGATTTTTCATTCACCAATATTCAATTTAAAAGAAATCTTGCAGATATTTCCGGCAAACATGTTTCTTTTTTTCTTTTTTTTTTTAGACAAACAATCGTGACAAGTACAAATTACTAATCTTGAATAATATGTAATTGCATTTGAAATCACATGTTTATTCCAAGCTTGAAACTTTTTGAATAAACTTAGAAATTATACATATATACAATTCGAGAAATTTCATGCTTTGGTTCATAGCTATTCAAAAATTTATTCCACCAATGAATTTGGCTTTATAATTGGTCAACTGATCGCAGCAAAATTCATGAAAATTCCTTTTCATTCTACTCAATGTTCCGCTATAGTCATACTTTATCATCAGAATAGCTTATTTGCTTAATCTAGAATAAATAACTTTTGGAAGAAATGGAAGTACAAATCTGAACACTAAGTAAATAATGAATGCAAGTTAACCAAGACTCAAAAAAAGTTGTCTCCATTGATAATATTGGCAATTATTATTTCGCATTACATTTTTATCCGTCAAGACTTTCCTATCAAATCAAGTTAGCAAGATTAAATAATACCATTATCCATAAAAGGTATAGCGACAATTTGGACGATACTTGCAAAAGAAGATTTGTCAATTAAGTAGAAATTGGAGCGAAGGTTCCCTTCGCTGGAATTTAAAATTTAGTTCATTTCATACAAGGCTGCTAAGCTAAATTACAAATCAAGCGCATTCACTAATTTCAGTGTTATATATAACAAAAAGCAACAAATATGCTCATTAATATCAGGAGATGCATTTATCATCGCTATAACGATGGAGAACATCGAACTGAAATACAGACACTCCCGAACTCTGCGAAGAGAAAAGAGATAAAAGGAGATCACTAACAATACTGATTTAAACCCAATCCAATGAACTGAAAAGTTCCAATCAACAGTGAGCAAGCAGCAATAATCTTCTGCTAATCTGCTAAATAAAATTGATGACATCGTCCCATTCCACATTCTGATTACGTCGAATCGTAGCAAATGTAAGTTCAAACCGTTAAAACATAAAATATTTGATCTCCCTATGTTACATATATATATATGTAAAATAGAAAAAAAAAAGGGACATTTACAGCTCTGTTCTTTATATGCCACACAAAAACATAATTCACAACTGAGCTCTTAATATGCCACACAATACGCATAGAAAAGATATTTGGACGGCTGAAACTAAAAACGATTAAATTGGTTGGAACTGTTAGAAACTGATTTAGTATTGCTGTTAGGAAAAAATACAGAGACGTATAGGTCACAATTTGGATATGAAATGCGACAAACAGCAAAACGATTGTAGAAAAACAAAAGAAAAAAAAGTGATAATATGACTGACAAATACACAACGGAGAAATTATTATTGTTTAAATAGGTGGATTATATGATTTGATTAGTAGCACAAGAAACATAAATATATGTACAAAGAAAGCAGTAATAATTATCACTAATTGCAGAAATTATATTTCTACCACAAATTTACTTATTTCAAAGAAAAAGACAATCTCATATTACATGCTCGTATTAAAAAAAAAAAAAAAAAATAAGGATGCATTTTCGTGCACATGACAAAGCTACTTTGCTTCACTTCAACGTATGCACTATGGATGAACCAGAAAGATAAAGGGATCTCAGAAATCAGAACTGCACTGAGTACGTATTTCGTATTCAGTAGATGCATGTACGTTATTAATCCATTGAAGAAAATGCACCGCAAAAACTGCAAAAATTTTACAATTTTTTCAGGGCAAATAGAATTTTCTAAAACACAATTGCTAACAATGAAGACATTATGCATTGCAAAAGAACTTTAAAAAAAAATCCATTCACCAAATTTATTTCCATATGTTCTTAGAATGAAGTTACATATTTCTACAAAAAAATTTGCATGGATGAAACTGACGGACCAGAACAAATAATGGCATATTTGTCGAAAACATATGGATAAAGCTGATGAAGCGCAAATTACCATCGAAACACGGAAAAGTTCATCAGAACATCTGAATCGTACAAAACTGCACAGTTATACAATTCCGAACAAAAAATCCTTATCAAACAAAAAAAAAAAAAACAAAGCTTTTCATGAATGCAGATCCAATCCCTTGAAGACAGTTTCTTACAGTTGCTTAAACATACAATAAAAGTGAAAAAATAGCAACTTAAACAAGCAAAAACATAAGTAAAAGAAATCACATCCGAAATCCGAAACCATCCGGAATCACGTAAGGGGTTACCTTCTGGAACACAAATGACTTATTCACGATTCAAGCTATCCATACATCAGTATAATACCGTTTCATCATGAAACCACTTCAAATTAAAAAAAAAAAGGAGGAGCAAAATTCTTGAAAAAAGAATTGGATTCAGTATTGATTAAAGTTGAATTTGATAAGTACCTGCAAATATGTACATAGAATGCCAGTAGTAATAAAACTGTAAGACAGAGGGAGATTTTGAGAAGTCAGGAATCATCATTTCCGACAGAAGACTCGCAGCAAAATCCATAAACAATCTTTTCATTACAGTGAATTATAACACACATATATATATATATATATATATATATATATATATATATATATATATATATATATATATATATATATATACGTACTCTACTACTTACTTACTTAC